ATTGATCAGTAATAGAACAATCAAGTTGAAGAACATCTCAGGTGCTAAGAATCCAGCAGATATGTTCACCAAGACAGTGGTGCTGGATAAGCTGAAGCTTTGCATAGCTTCAGCTGGTCTCCTGGAATAGTGTTGAGGAGAGGGGCAACTAGGGAGATGTGAAGATCAAGAAGGGTTTTTCATTTACAGAAGTACAGAGAGTAGCCGCAGTTTGGTCCAAAGACTCCAAGTGGGAGATTGTTGGTGATGTGTAGTCATCGGCCCAAAGTGGCCCACTTATAGACAACTGAGAATTAGGAGACCAGATTAGGGTTTCAGCCGGCCCAAATGGTTTTAAGCCCAGTTTGCTATAACTTGTCCAGCAAGGGTTAAACCCTAATTAGTTGTCTATATATATGATCTCCTGTACTTGTAATCATCATCACTCAATAAAACAAACCCTAGTTGCCCCTGTGGATGTAGGTCAGATTAGACCGAACCACGTTAAATCTCGTGTTCTCTATTGCATTCTTGCTTTCTATTCGTGTGTGTGCTTTTGTTCTTCACAAAAAGCTGTGTGCACTTTTGGGGAATAAGTGCAGCAATGCATCATGAATCTAACAGATTCCTCTATATGTTTTACAAGGGTAAGGTTGCATACATCTTGACCCCCGAACCCCAACAGAGTTAGGATACAACTGGATTTGTTGTTGTTGTTGTACGTGAGGTATTCTATAGTTTCTTTTTAACACCATTCCACTAACCAGATTTGTGCAGTAGAGAAGGAGCCCTAACTTCACTTTAAAATTCAAATTAAGTTCATTGAGACATTCTTTCAGAAAAGAACCCTTACATGTCAAGAATGTCAGGCAGCTGAAGCTTAGTTATGAAATGCAGTACTGGGCCATCCAAGAAAGTCAATTGTTTTGGAACATCCAAGAATGCATAGTCAATGCATCCCTTGACAATATCCAAAATATCCAATCTATACTTGTTTCGAGCAGCACCAGCAAATATCCCAGAAAGGCGAGCAGCAAGATCTTTACATTCTTGAAATGTTGTGCTAGAAGCTACTTCATCGCTAGATGAAACAGAAATCAAGTGCCGCTTGTATGCCTGATGATTAAAAGAATAAGATGCAGAGAGTAATGAAATATAACCAAGTATGCAGATGTCCCCCCCCCCAACACCCTGGTGGCAAACCTTTTTCAACGCTTCAACCAAAATACTTGAAATTTTCTCATTTTTCTTCTTTAATACTGTGATAAGATGCTTGATCACCTCAGAGACACTTGAACCATGACTTACAAAATGAGAAATTATCTCTGCACCAAGATATTCCTGCAATCACAATTACAATGAAACATGTATATGGATCGTTACAATTTTAAAAAAAACACAGTAAACTCTTCCATTTAGATCATGTGGAATACGAATCCAAAAGTATCACCACCCCCAGGAAACAGTTCTTGGCAGATAAAAAATTTTTGTTATGCACTATTAAAGTAATTAACATAGTGACATGCTCAACTGAGTTTATCAAAAATATAATCAAGGAAGACATTACATTCGGAACTGCATCAATAGCAACCAACTTGCTAGCAGCAATGATGACTGCATCTCTATTTGTTTCTTCAATATACTCTCTATTGATCTCATCATCATCTGTCTCATCTGGCATAGCAAAAGACCAAATTAGGCAATAAGATCTCAACTTGGAGACATATAAATGAATTTAGTTATCACATCACACCACCACATTGAATGTTGCTTCAGTGGTTGGGTTACAGAAGTCGGTCAGTCGGATGTGGAAGTTAGGATTGACTCCCACCCAGTGAAGCGAGACAAGTTTCGGTATCTTGGTTCGGTGCGGATGGGGTGATATACAGAGATGTTGCTCATCGTATTGGAGGCCCTTGGGCAAAGTGAAAAATGGCTTCAGGGGTACTATGCGACAGGAAGATTTCGGCATGGATGAAAGAGAAGGTCTATGGGTCAATAGTTAGACCGGTTATGCTTTACGAAACGGAGTGCAAGAAAACCCACGTTCGCCATGCAGCTGCTTTTAATTTGTGGCCAGATGATGTTTGATAAGATTCGTAACGAGGGTGGGAGTGGCTGCGATAAGCTAAGTTGAGGTGATTTGGGAACGTAAAGCAGGGAAGTGCGAAGGCTGCGGTGCGGAGATGCGAGAGACTGACATTGGTGGGTAAGGGTGGGGGTAGGGTTAGACTTAAGAAGAATTGGAAGAAAGTGATCAAGCATGACCTGATACTTCTTGCCCTTACCGGGGATAAGATCTTAGATAAGAGTGTCTCGAGAGCTAAGGATTACAGTTGTTAAGTAGTTGTCCGGGCCTTGGTGGTTGTTTGTGCTCTAGTGTTGTGTGCCTAGGGTCTAGTTGTTAAAGGCAATATGTGTGCTTTTGTCTCTTTACACTTTTCTTTGTCCTTAGTTTTCTTTAACTTCTTCTTTGTTGGTTTTTCGTTCCTTCTTTGCTGTCGAGTTTGGGGTCTCCTGGAAACAACTTCTCTACTTTCGAGTAAGGGTAAGGTCTGCAACTCTGCGTACACACCCCTCTCAAGACCCTAGTTCTTCTGGGATTCTTCTGAGTTTGTTGTTGTTGTTATCACACCACCACATGGTCTCAAGAGGAACTATGCAAACAATAACTTGAGACCCTCAAATAGTAGGCTCGAAGTGTGAAACATGACATCCATCTGAGAGTTTGTTTCACCTCAATTGTTTCCAACAAGTCTATACTGTCAACACCCCC